AAAAGCTCAACAATGCTTGGGGCTGGAGAGATGGCTCAGTGGTCAAGAGCAGGCTCAGTGGTTAAGAGCAGTGGTTGTTCTTGCAGAGAACCTGGGTACAAATTCCAGCACCCACATGGTGGTTAACAACTGTCTGTAACTCCAGTTCCAGGGGATATAACATTCTCTTCTGTCTGTCTTCCATGGATACTACACAACACAGGTGCACTTACACATTTTCAGGCATAGCATTCATACAGATAAAATTTAAAAAAATTAAAAATTGTTTAAAAGCCCTCAAACAGTGAAAACATTAAATTAACTACATATAGTACAAAAAGACTACGGTTTCAGGTCTTCAGTTTTTCCTATGCAAAGTACAGCCCTAACAATTATAAATGCAGAAAGTATATGATAGACACAGAAGCCACAAAACCATAAAGCCATTGGTTAAGAATCAGAGTAATTAAATGTAAATGCCTACAGCTCTGAAGGGAGACGGCATTTTGCTTACCCTGACTACTTTCATTCTGATTTTCTGCTTTCCTTTTTCTTCCCCTGGATGATTCAGATTGTTTCTTCTCTGGTGTCTAAAGAAAATAAGTTAACATAATTTTAAATTATGGTTTTAATATATAAAATTATTACTGTCAATACAAAAATCTTTGCTTTTAAGGCCAAATAAAGTGTTCAACAGTGCCCATAGGACATTAATGTAGCTATTGACATGCAATTTGTTTAGAAGATATAACCTGAAATTCACATTTATAGAATTTGACTATGGGGAAATGAGAAAGCTGAGAATAATTAGTGCTTCAAATTCTTAAGTCAATGGGGGAAGGGGGATTACCTTAACTTTTTATTGTTTTCTATTATTCATATATATTTAGTCTATAAAAAGCAGACTTCAATGAGAGAATGGGGGAGGAATGCAAACTGACATTCAACACCCACTAAAAAAGAACATTCACTTGAATACCTGGCAAGTATTATCCAAAAACAATTATAGTAAATTCATAGGCTATACCCTAACCCAGTAGTCAGCAAAGTATGGCCAATGGGTCGGCTCTGGACACCTGTTTTGTACAGTCCATGATCTGAGTGTAGTTTTTACATTTTTAAAACGGCATTTTCTAAATGATTTCAAACCTAGATTAGTTTGTGATGTGAAAATTATAAGGAATTCAAATTTCTGTGTCCATGATATGGTTTTATTGGAGGGCAGCATACACATTCATTTACAAAGCTACTTTCATATTAACAGCAAAGCTAAGCAGCTAGCAGCAACACAGACAGTACAGCCATCCAGTATGAACTACCTGGCCTTTTATAGAATTTTGCAGGCCCCTACTCTAGATAGTGGCTCTGTTCTCATAAATTATGTTTGTTCCTTGAATGCACATAAGTGTCTTCAAATACAACAAACAATTTTTTAATGTAATTAAATTTTTTTTAAATTTCAAGTGTATGAGTGTATTGCCTGCATGTATATAAGTGCACTTGTGTCAGTCAGACAATGTAGGATCCCCTGGAATTGGATCTACAGAAGGTTGTTAGCAGCCATGTAGGTGCTGGGCTGTAACAACAGCCAGTGCTCTTAACCACTGAGCCATTTCTCCAGTCCCAAACAAATTTTTATAAAGTGTGATAAACTATTTTCTTTCAAGAATTAAAGGCAAGAGTTAAATTAATTAAAGGCACAGATGACAGTTCTAGGCCCTCAAATTCTAAACATTGTAAACAATTCCTGAACTTAATAGGAGCTCAAGGAATATCTGAAAGAAAGAGTGAATCCTATTAGGAAACAATATCAACTTTTTTAAGTGCTGTGGTCACTGAACAAAGATGACTCTGATCCTGATTTTTATGTCTCTGAGTAGGTCTTAAGCTTAACTAGCAAGAAAAGCAATATGCAACCTACTATTTATTGAGCCTATCTGTTCCTCTAAGTATCCTGGGAGTTTTAAGTTCTTTCATTTCCATTCTACCAACATGGTAACAGATTTAGTAAGGCTGTACTGAATATTACTAGCTTTGAGTTCTGTACAGAGGAAGCAGTGTATCTTCTTTCCATTTCACCCTCTCATTCCAGGGCCTAGCTTGTAGTTATTACTTGAGAAACACATGAATTAAATAACTTACTGCAGGTTAACACTACTGGTGCTACAGAGCCAGAATAAAATTTAGTTTTGTGCAGCCCAAAGGCCCAAATGTTCTTTAAATTTCTCTACTTAACAGCTACATGTCCTGCATGAAGAAGTAAATTAACTAGAAGGTATTTCAATGTTATTGTTTACAATTAAACATTATACAATACCTACTACATTTCACCTAACAAACCAAAGATTTTTTTTTGGTCTTTTTGAGACAGGGTCTCCCTGTAGCCCCAGCTGTCCTGAAACTCACTATGTAGACCAGGCTGGCCTTGAACTCACAAAGATCCGCCTGCCTCTGCCTCCCGAGTGCTGGGATTAAAGGCGTGCATCAGCACGCCTGGCCACACAAACCAAAGATTTTAAGAAAACCCTGTCAATCTACTTTTGTAGGGGGTCAGGTGAGGCCTGATATACTGGCAATTTAGGGTAGATAGTTCATTAGTTGAGTTCACTGTCACAATTACATAAATTTAATAAAAAAAACTTCTAGTTTTCCTAAAATTAAAAATATCAACAAATTAAAATTTATTAACAATTTTATGAAGAATCCTAAATGTATATTAAAAAAAAAACCAGGTCCCCCCAAATAATTTATTTATGTCCTTTCCAATAATTAAAAAAATATGTATTTTATTTATATTATTTTTATGTGTATGAGTGTATTGCCTGCATGCATGAGTACACCCATGTCATGCAATGCCGTGGATGTCAGAAGAAGGCCTTGGATTCCCCTGGAACTGGAGTTAAGGATGGTTTGTAGTTGCCATGTGGGTGCTGGGAATCAAACCCGGGTCCTCTGCAAGAACAATCAGTGCTCTTAACTGTTGAGCCATCTCTCCAGCCCCTTTCCAATAATTTATGCCAACAAATATAATTTAACATCTAAAAATCAGTAAGGCAAGATCTTACTTGAATTCTATCTTAAATCTTGGCTATTTTAAATAATTTCTTTTTAAATCACAAAAAAAAATTCTGAAAGTTACACTGGAATTAGCAATTTCCTTCCTTCCTTCCTTCCTGCCTTCCTTCCTTCCTTCCTTCCTTCCCTCCCTCCCTCCCTCCCTCCCTCCTTCCTTCCTTCCTTCATTTGTCTGTCTTTTTTGAGAGAGGGTCTCCCTGTAGCCCCAGCTGGCCTTGAACTCACAGAGGTCTGCCTGCTTCTGTCTCCCAGGTGCTGGGACTAAAGGTGTGCACCACCTTGCTTGGTTCTGGAATTAGCAATTTCTTTAATTAGAAAATTAAAAGAAATATGTTCTAAATGACCCGCATAATCTATTCTAAAGTATACTCCAAGCAACACAGGTTCAGTGACAGGCTGGAAATGCTACATTAAACAGGAGCGGAGGGGAGTATCCACACATAGATTTCTTTAGGGAAAAGCATCTCAGAAACATTAAGGTGTTAATACTGACTATCAAAAGATGATAGGGGCAAGATGATGCTGATGCTGTGTTATGTGTAAATTCTCAAATTTGGGATAACATTCATTAAATATTTCACTGAATCAGCACTTTAGAATAGTCACAGTTGTTTTTGAAAGGCATATAAAGTACTTGGTAAAGGTTTTTTTTTCCTGCAAATACAATTAATGGACCATCCCTTTGGGGAAAATTTCACTTCATTTAAAGGAGGCGGGATGGCAGTGTCACAATTACAGCAAAGAAGCCCAGAGGTTTATCTCAAATGAGATGGGAACCTGAGCAAAGAAAACAGCATAAGTTAAAATGTTTAGGATTTTAATGTATAATATGTTGGAAACAGGTAGTAAGATCCAGAACGACTGTACAAAGTTCTTCAGAGGGAGGGTGTAAAGCCTAGACACACTTAAGTTAGCCAGAAAGTGTAGGTCTCCACTGCATGCAGACCTTCTCCCTCTCCAGGAACCTTAAATCTTTTTCACCCATATCCTAACATTTCTCCCTTGTATTGACCTCTCACTTTGTTTATGCGGGCACATTTGGAGTTATTCCGTCAATATAAATGGAATATAAGATCCTAAAAAGTCCAGTATCATGGGTTTCTGAAGAAACAGACCAACAATCAAACTCTTCATCCATTTTTTACTATATTCACTGTCATGTTACTTAACCCATGAATCAATTTTCTTATCAATTTAAAATGTGATACTGTAGGTATAGTAGAAATGCAAGATTCAATAAAGAGTACACTGAGAATACAGTACCTGCAATATACTTGGTACTCAATGATGTCTGTCACCCCAATCAATTCTCTTTATGTGAATGACTATCCTATTATCATTTCATTTTTCCATGTACTTTGTTTCAAAACTTCAATTACATGGCACAATGTAGAGATTACAGCATCCACAAAACCTGTAGTCTAGGCCACTACCAACCTTTAGGACAAATGTACTTTGAAACATTTTTTGGTTTTGAATTTACATAATGTGAACATTGATAGTAAACAAACAAAAACCCTCAATGAAGTCTATCACTACCAATTCTGAGTCACTCATTTGTACACAGATCTGTTTGGGGATTTAGAACTGGGGCAGGGGGATTTAGAATTTAGGAGGATATGAAGAAATTCACCAAATACTTAACCACAGAGGTGGTTCATCACTGACAAAAAAAAATTCAGAATAATATTGGCAATTTTCAAACTGTGTTCCACAGATGTCTTGAGGGAGAAGTTGTGCTCCAGAAATAATTAAAGGGAAAGGAGAGGAAAAAAGTGACGGATGGGCTAAGGCTCTAGCCTACAGAGACACATCCTCCACCACCCTCCACTAACCATGGTAAACAGTATCACTTATTTTAATATACACTAAGCTTCTATGAGATTTCTTTTGAAGAAAATAGTTTCTGACTTTTAGAAAAATATCTGAAAAACTGATTACAATCGGTGATATTTCTGAAAAAATCCAGGGGACATCAATAATACCACCCATATATGTATTTAAGGTTTAAAATTTACATAGATCAAATACTTCATACAGAGCCATTTCACTTATCATTGCCCTTGCTTAGTACATTGTCCTTTTTTCTTTCATTCTTTATTTTCTCTCAAAAGATTAAAATAGAAGGCAAAATAGTTGGATTAGCTTTAAAGTGAGGTGAAAAGAATATGTGATTATAAACGGCCCAAGAATTCCAATACACAGTGGCACAGTGGTTCAGAGAAAATGGAGAAAAGACAATATAGCTTTGTAAATTCCAGGTTTGAGACTGGCTACTCTGGCAATTAAATGTGTCAAGACATTTGAACTTACATATTATGAACTTACACAGTATTTTCTAGCAGTTGAAAATCTGTTCAAAAACAAATGCAAATTTAAAGCACCCAAGAAGTGATGTAATTAAGCTAAAGTTACACTTTCATTTGAAACAGGTGTTTCTTGAAGTTCTTACAGCTAATCATGTGGCTTCTTGGTTTATGTTAAAGATGAATTTGTCTTTCTTTAATGTAAACAA